GGCCCGGCCCGGCCCTGCCCACCCCGCCCCGGGGCACCAATGGCCGAGGGGACGGCCCCTGCGTCAGGGCTGCCCCACCCAATAGTAGGGGGCGTGGTGATGTACGGGGCTCTGCGCCTGCGCCCTGCGCGTCGCCGCTGCCATTTTGGCCGGCGCAGGCGGTGGGAGGAGGGGGGGTGTCTGTGGTTGCTGCCGCCATTTTGTCGTTGGTGTTTGAGTGCGGAGGAAGCTGGCGGAGGGTGCCGGAGTCAGCCCCATACCCCGCGCCACCCGCTAGCCAGCCCCACCGGAGACCTGGCGACCGTCTGCTTCGGTGAGTAGGGGTTGGCCCTGGCCGGAGGGCCGAGAAGGGGGCGCTGAGGGAAGGAGGCCGGCCGGCCGGCCGGTTCCGTAAAGGAGGCCGAGGCGTCCCCTCAGGCGGCCGGGGGGGGGCTCATCTTTGCCCTTTGGGGGGTGTGGTGGTGCGGTGTTGGCCCTTGCCCAGTCTTTCTGCATGCAGGGCCGGCCTTTCTCCCCCCGTCTCGTAGGGCAGCTGTCGGGACGAGGCTGGATCGGCGGCCCAGGCCAAGGCCTCCCCTTCCCGTCCTCGGCCGGCGGTGCCGGGGCTGCCCCCGCGCTGCGTGGCGGGCTTACGGGAGCGGGGCTGCTTCTGCGAGCTGCGCTGCGGTTGTTGTTCAGGAAAAATGCTTTTTAAAACCATTTCTAATTTTAAAAAAATGGGTTGCGGCTACCTGTTGACTCAGTTTCTAGCTGTAAAACACTGTAAAGAAGGTATTTTGCTCAAGGTATTTTGAGGGTGAGTACTTTTCGGCAGTCCTCTAAGCATTAAATTTGATACTAATTGTATATAAAAAAAGGGAAATCGATCTGCATAGTTAGTGGGTTTGAGCGTAGCACATTTCAGTAGTATTCATCACTGGCAAAGCACTCGGGCTTGAGCTGTGCTCCAAAGATTAGTAACAGCTGAGTTGAAATCTATTTGCTGCTTTCATGAGGCATGTGGCAGGCTGTCACGTTGGAGAACCACGTTAGGACTGCAGATGAGCTGACTACCGGAATTGTTACACATTAAAAAGCTGAAGTGACTGCCCCCTTACAGTTTTATTTCGGTCCAAGTGGTGGCAATCATAATGGGAGGATGGAAGCGTAATATTTTTAAAGTATATGGGACTTCTGTAGAGTAATCTTGGAACTTTATTGCCAAGTATATGGTATGTGTCTGTTCCAAACAAACTGGGGTTTCTGTCTTGCTGATACTAAAAGCCTAGAAGTGTGGCAGTGTTACTAGATGCTGTACTAAACAAGGCATTTGGGTGCCATCTTGACCGCTGATGGACTGTATTTTTGCAGCATTACTCCTGCCAATGGTAAAATGCTCACTTTCTAAAAAGGTGGCTTCTTAGTAAGGATGAGTTAGCATAACTTGCTGATTTATTAAACCTGCTGTATCATGATGGTGGCCTAGAAAACTTGCTAAAAATGCATTAATAGAATACCTGTTACCTGTCCCGTTCCTGACTCTCCACCAAAGGAGCTGGAATGTAGGTTTTTTAATGTTGGCCAAGTAAGTGCAAGATCTCTGTGCTGTTTGTGAAATCCAATTCTGGTGTTTTGCAGATTCTCTTGATCTGAAGATGGCTGCACAGTCAGCACCGAAGGTTGTGCTAAAGAGCACCACCAAGATGTCTCTGAACGAGCGGTGAGGAAGCCAACAGCAGCTTCAGCTCATAAGAAATTTTTTTACTTAATTATCACTGTCCGGTGTCCAAAAACCAACGTGGTTTCTGCCCTCTCTTAACCTCAGTAAAACAAGCAGATGGCTATGCACCTCTGTCTTAAACTGCAACAAATGTGGTACACCAGGTTAAAAGGGCAAGTGTTTTGGAGAAATTTATCCGTAGCAGTTAATATTAAACTATTCGACACATAAATATGGTGGGATGTGTTATAACAAACGAGAGAAACCTCACGCCCTCCCTTTTTCTTCCACATGTTTTTACATTTATATAGTTGATGCTGCAGCATGGTAGCATGTTACCTAAGCTGCAGCAGGCTTGCTGCTTTGTCCAAGGCAGACACACGTGCATGTGGTCTGGCCTGTAAGAGGCATGCAGCAGGCCATTAAACAAGCCCAAAGGCCCTTTAACAATGTTTTGGGCCTTGTAAGAGGCAAATGCTTTGCTTCATCTCCATCTCTCTCTTTTCTTGATTTCTTTATTTCTTCTGTTGAGTATTCTTCTGTTTTTCCATGCCATTGAGCTTTTGCGGTTCTACGGTGACAACAGTGATGCTGCAGTTATGTTTCACTTTCTTACTAATAACTCTTGGATTAACTATGTTGGTATAGTTGAACCAGGAATAAAGGGGGCCATTGGCCTGCAGTCCCTGCTCTAGCAAGTGCTGCAGTGAGATGTAGCCTGAACCAGTGCTCGGAGCTTACCCCAGGAAAGATGAGTGGTGAGGTGCAGTGCAGGGAAGGCTTGCTGGCCTGTTTCATGTTGGTCAGTCCATATTCCTCATCTGTAAGTGTTTTCTTTTGCAGCCTTGTGTAGCTCCCAGGACACAGTAGAAAGCTGATGGGTTGCTGCTAAGGAGGCTTACCATCTTGCTGTATTGCTCCTATGTAGCTCTTAAAGACAGAAGATTCTTTGTGCACCAAAGAAATTGCAAAGTGAACTGTTTTTGTAAGTGAGCACACTTGGGTGGTGGCATTTCTTATGGCACCAGTTCTGTGGTGCGCCAGAGGCACTCTGGTCTGTTCTCGGGGTGATGTCTTTTGTAAAGCTGCCTTCTGGCATTGAGGTTTTTAAACAGTTTTCTCGGACCTTTGAAGGTTAATCTGGCTTTTGCAGTCAGGTTTCAGTTTGCTTCTCTGTTTCTGTGATGTCCTCTCCCATCTGTCATGATCATCTCTGCTTATTGCTTGTTTTCATTCCTTTTGCCATTTCTAAAATCAGTAACCTAAAACTTTATCACTTCTGAATTAATATACAACGTCATTTCCGAGTTTCCAGTTCTTGCACACTTGTGGAAAACAAGGAATACGTAATCACATATGACGTGACCTAAGTACCACTCTTTACATAAGGTTCATGGGATCTGGAGATCCAGTCTTGAGAACCATGAAATGCCAATAAATGTATGTAATAAAGCTTTATTTAAACACCCATTTTATTCGACCTTGAAGCTTTACTAACATGCTGAAGAACAAACAGCCGATGCCAGTGAATATTCGGGCTACCATGCAGCAGCAGCAGCAGCTAGCCAGTGCCAGAAACAGAAGACTGGCCCAGCAGATGGAGAACAGACCTTCTGTCCAGGCTGCTTTGAAGCTTAAACAGGTGAGAGAAAGTGGCATATTCTGGGGCAGCCCGTTGATGCCTGTCACCAGCAGATGGCTTTTCAGGATGTGGTGGATTTTGAAAAATGCTCCTGAAAGTTAAAAATGAGAGACCTAGAAGGGACTTGCAGAAAATCCTGCTTTTTACTTCAGATAAGTAATGCTTTGTAACTAACAGTTAATAGTATTGAGGTGGGGGAGGGGGGTGTGCTGGCCATTCATATCTTCTCTCTATTTTTTCAGAGAAATGTTCTCATTCTGGGTTTCTGTATCTGCCAAGTGCTTCATCTCGCAATCTAGTTGCAGTTAAAATTGCTGCAGATTGTTTCCAGTACTTACTATCCAGTTGAGGCTGGTTGCTCCCATCCCCAACTCCGCCCTCTATTGGTGCACTCCTTTGATAGCAGCTGGCTGTGAGGAACAGATGAACAAACTGATTTTTTGATTGCTTGCAAATGCTAGAATGCAGGCCTGGATTTAAGGCATAGTGTTGCATTCCCCTTATATAAAGAGTTTTTATTGTTCCACGTTTCAGTGATGAGTACTACAGCTTACGGTGTGTTCCTCAAATTGCCTTCTGTCAGCAGAGCGGAAGACCTAAGCAAACATGCTAGATTCTGATTTCTCTGCTGCAGTAAATGTGATTCTCCATAACTCTAGACTTATGGAAGGGGCAGGGGGCAAAATCTTGCTACAACAGAAACCTCAGTAACATACAAAAGAGAGCTGTTTGTCTAGGGCCTGCTCATTGTCAGCATGTAGGGGGCGTTACAAGTTTTAAAGTTTATGTTTAAATGGGAAGGCTAGTAGGATTCACATAAAATGTATGTGTAGGGCACAAATTGAAACCTGTGGGGTAGTGCCTCACAGCTGTGCAGGGAGGTCAAATAGCATTACTGGATCACTTGACTACAGAAGTAGTTAAATGTAATTCTGTACATTATCTTGCATATGAGGAGAAAGCCCTGGAAATTTCTTAGCTGAGCTGCTTCAACAAATAGCTGGAATACTTAAAGCTGCCACACATGCTCACATTCAGAGCTCACTCTCTGATAAAGAGGAATGCAGCTGCTTTTTAAGATCTCTCGAGATGTCTATTATAAAAACAGACGATGGTGCCAGTTAGCCTTGCAGAGCTTGTAAACAAAAGCTCTGGAAATAGTAGTCTAAATTATTTTCTGCTTTAAAAAAAAAAGTTTGGAAAGTTAAGAATTTCACAAGTGGTAAGTGAAACTGGATTGAAAGCATGAAGTTTCTGCTGCTGAACTGAGGTGCCACAGAGGAACAGGGAAGAACTAGTCTTTTGGCTTAGCTCTTAAACCCATTTGATTTTTATGTTGAACATAGGTGTACTTTCCTGGTCTTCTGGAATTAAACACTGCAAGGTAGGGCCACGGCAGGGTGTTGTAGGGAAATTCAGAAACGTAGTTTATGTTAGGTTGCTCTTTGAAGATTGCAAGTTGCTCTGGAAGTTGATGTGGTGATTGGATTTTCACAAGTGCCATACTTGGTATCACCAGGAGCTTTTCTGATCCTTCTGGATGTGCTGTGTCCATAAGTGTTGGGGAGCATTGATCCTAGTGATGGGTCATCTGTGCTTCAGAAGGGACTTCTCTAAACTCCTGTGGAGCACTGCCTATGCTAGATATGTGGGTTTATGTTTTGCATCCTTTGCATCTGAGTGCACAAGTGTTTATGTAAACCTGCTGTGGGTTTTTTTAATGTAAAAACATTCATACTGACTGTGGTTCTAGACATGCATTTACTTAGTAGCTGGAGCAGACCAAGGTGCTACTGCTCTGAAGTAGAGCAGAAGGGTGAGGACTCTTAGGCTGTTTCAGTGCAAAGTCCAGCAGCTTATCTTAAACTCTCATGGTGAGTGACATAAATTAATAATTGGATGTAGAACATGCTTTCTCATTCCTTTCTGCCAGTGGGGCTGGGCAAAAGAGAGAGGCTAACATTTTAGGCTGCTACAGCTGTTGGAAAATTAATTACTATCTAAACTTTGAGGCAGTAAAACTTAAACTCTTACTACAGCTACAGAAGAGACTGATTTTAGAGGAACCAATTCAGCTGTCCACAGGCTTGGCTCAAATAGACAAGCAGTAACTTGAAGCAACTCTTGGAACCTGTAGTAAAATACAGACAGCCTTTATGGCTGCCTTTGTTACCTTACCTTCTTAGTGCCAAGAGGGCTTGTTCTTGAGACAGGTGTGAATGTTCCCACTGTTGCTGCTTAGCTCCTTGTAAGGTTCAGCAGTGCCTACAGAAGCTATAGCCTGCTCTGTGGAGACCAAACCTGGTACTGGCGCATGTTAACAATACTGGGATGTAAATTGGCCGTTCAGCTGCTGCTTCATGAGCAGTTAAGCCATCTCTGCAGCAGTTCTGGTATAGGCGTTTGAGGACAGGAGCTGCTATGGCTGGCCCAAGGTAAGCCAGCCCCGCCTGCGGAATGGAGCATGGGGGCTGGAGATACATGTCATGGTAAGGAAAAAAAAAAAAAAAAAAAAAACCACCACACTTCAAAAGCCGCTATTTTGCTGTTCTGGTGAGGGTAAATTTCTTCAGTATAGTTTTCTTTTTGTAGTACAGACAGAAAAGTTGATGCTTCTCCTCGCTGTTGCCTTAGTCTATGTGGAAGCCTAGCCAGGATAGGGCAGTAAGCCACTGGGAATGATACCCATGGTATGTGGCTGCACAGATGTCACCTGCTCTGCAGAGATAGGTTAGGCTTGTGCCACAGCAGGGGTAGTTGCTTTCTGTCTCAGGGATATACTTGGACTGTCACCTTCCAGCATACAGGATTAGTGGGCTGCCTTGTGGATTAAGTGTCTGATTTGGACGGAGCAGCACTGCTAAAAGTGAAGAAAAATACTTCCTTGCAAATCTGCAAACTTTCTTGTCTCTGTACAAACACTTGCTTCTAGGAAAGGTCCTTGTTCTCTGTTTGACCTTCACAAATTATCCCTCCTAGAGCAGATTTGATTGTCTTCCTTTGAAGCTTGATTATATATTGCAGAGATCTGGTGACCCTCTAGTCTATTTAAAACAAAACAACACACCACTTTTATTGGTAGGTGATTGCTGTGCTGTTTGTGTTGCAAGTCTGAGATTGCTGCATGACTTTCTTGTTTCTTAAAAATCTTTTATTCCAGAAGAGCTTAAAGCAACGCCTCGGTAAAAGTAACATTCAGGCACGATTAGGTCGGCCAGCAGGACCCCTTGCTCGTGGAGCCATGGGAGGAAGAGGACTGTCTATGGGGCAGAGAGGCTTGCCACGAGGAGCCATGCGTGGTGGCCGGGGAGCAAGAGCTCTGCTGAGAGGAGGAGTCTCGCTCAGAGGTCAGTACTGTGGCTGAACTGGAGTTGCTTGTATGTCAGTAACACTGTCTTTTTGACAGCGTGACTGATTCTGTTGCTCAGTCTGAAAACTGATTTCTGTCTGATTTGAATTCCCTCTCTCTATTGAAGGTCAGAGCCTGCTTCGTGGAGGACGAGGTATATCCCCCAGGATGGGCCTGAGAAGAGGTGGCCTTAGAGGTCGCGGTGGCCCTGGAAGAGGTGGTCTAGGCAGAGGCGCCATGGGGCGTGGAGGACTTGGTGGCAGAGGTTAGTGTGCACAAACTTCAGGAGCGACACGTTGCTGCTGAATAAGTAGAAGTAAGCTTTAATTCTTTTTCTCTTTAAGGCTAGCATGCATAAGTACATGCAGCCCCAAACCCCCTCTATTCTTGAATTCGTGTACAGCGTAGTGCTAAATTAAGGCTTTTGTTCCTGAAATATTTTGCCAGGCCTTATGCCTAACCAAGATCCTTGACTCTGTCAGTGTTGCTAGAGGGGTTCTGGGGACTGTTAGCAAAGTTGTCTGCTCCTGCAGGTATCGCTGGCTGATGCTTGGAACAGTAGTTGAGGCAGTGAGTAATCTTCCGGCATATTGAGGAAGACTACACTGTCTCCTCATGCTTAAGAAGGAAATGATACAGAGCCTGTGTAAACCAAGAGACTCTTTAAAATAATCAGTGAGGGGGAAAAATTTAACAGAGGAGAAAGTCTAAACCCCTGCAAAATAAACTTGATTCAGTTTCAGACTTTGAATTTAAGTCTTGGCTAGATGTACTCTATTTTTAACAACAAATCAGAGAAGCAGTAAAGTAGGAGTGCAAAAGAGGAAATACAGGAGACAGCTGTTGATGGTAGGGTTGTTACTGTTTCAGACAGATGTTTGGTTAGAACGCCAGCCAAACGGTGTCTCGTGTTGCTTTGGGATTGGCCCCATGTTTGTAGGAGTTAGAGCAGACAGCAGGAAGCTGCCTATCTCCTGACAGCTTTGTCTTATAGAGCTAAAGCTACTTTTTAGCCTGACAAACACATGCTGATCCATGTGGGCTCTTGGGTATCCTACTTCTGAAGCAGTCTGAAAACCTCTCAAAGTACTCATCTATAGGAAAAATTTGCCTGTAGTGGATGATGGCATTGCCACTTTGCCAAAAGCTTCAGCCTGACCCAGAGGTTTGCAGGATCTTGGGGTATGCTCCATGGGAGGGAAATATGCAATGTGTAGGTGGAATTGGAACACGAGCAGGGGAGACAGGAGTCTGAACTGAGTGCGTAGCTCTTAGTTGTGGATCAAATGTCTGTCTGGGCTTCTGGACTGAAAGAGAATCAGCCTGGGGAGCTAATCCAGCGTGGCAAAACCTGACCTGCTGTGCGGGACCTGGAAGTGGGCTGAGGGGTAGCTGCTGCCATGATGCTGCAGGACTTCCCCATGGAGGTGCTGAAGCAGCTCTGCCGAGCGTGCAATGTTGTCCAGGCTCTGCCAGGGAGCGGCAGCCACAGCAAACCCCGAGGCTCGGTCAGGCGGAGTGTATAACCATCTTCTTGTCTCACTGTAAGGTCGTGGCATGACGGGCCGGGGACGAGGGGGCTTCGGAGGTCGTGGCAGAGGCAGAGGACGAGGACGAGGATCGGCACGTCCTGCATTGACCAAGGAGCAGCTGGACAACCAGTTGGATGCTTACATGTCTAAAACAAAAGGACACCTCGATGCTGAGCTGGATGCTTACATGGCTCAGACGGACCCGGAAACAAACGACTGAAGGTCATAGCGAGAGACTGTTGTTGAAGTTAGTGTGTTATGTCGATGCCCATAAGCTAAAAACGGAAACCCTGATTCATGCTGGAAGGACCCGCAGGAATAGGGAGCGGCCCTGTTCTACTGAGAGATCAGACTTTAGTGTGTTCCTTTAATGTTTTGATACTATCTGTTGTATGAAACCTTTTTTTGGATTGTTTTTTACGTATTTTTTTTTCTTTCCCTGAGTACTCCAAACATGAATGTGACAGATCTGCCACAGTTAATCTGCTGACATCAGCGCTGGTGACTTGCTGTGCATGCCGCCCATGCTGTGTTAGGTGAAGTGCTCCTCGGCGCTGGGATCGTGTGTTGATGTGCTGCTTAAGCTCCACAGTTGCGTTTTGGGATCGGCCTGGTCCCCAAGTGTGACTGAAGGGCTGAGTTCACACCCACAGTTCAGTTTAACCCATCTGAAGCAAAAAAAAAAAAAAACGCAACCAAACTCCCAGCAGGGCAAACAGTCAGGTCAGGTTTAGTTGTAGTGCTCCTTGTAGACATGCCAATCTCGTTTTGCACCAAAACTACTACTTTTGTTGGTGGCCAGTGTTCTGTTAATGCCTAGTGTGGAGCACTTCCTAGGTTGAAAACTTCGTTGGTTTGGCTTTTTTGTTGTTTTTAGGTGAAGTTTGAATTTCTTTTGCATTGTGTTGAACAGATGGCACCAGTGGTTTCTGTATCTGCAAGAAAACAAGTGTTTAAAGGAATTGGAAGCAGGAACATAAAATTACAGCTGTGATGGCCAAGTGTGGTAGAACTGTCTCTTCTAAAAACCGGGGTCCAAAATTCATCTGTTACCTTCTGGTGTAACCAAAACTGCCTCCTCTGCTCAGACCAACTGCCTGCACTTACCCCGGACAGGTTTGGGAAGGGGTCTGTTTCTCCCACCCTGCCCCCTCAAGTTTTCAGTTCAGCCATTCTGTGAGCTGTTCCAGTTTCAATGGAATCTTGTATTTCTGGTTTGTTGTAACAAAGGAGAAATAATTATAAAAGCAGTATGGACTCTGGGTGGTCTTTTTGGTGTTTGGGGTTGTTTTTTTTCCCTGGAAATGAGCTTTTTCTGCTCCTGCTCTGCTGTGCCCTGGGGTAAATTTAACTTTACGGGGGGGGGGGGGGGGGGCAGAAGGGAGCCGAGGGAAGGTCGTGTTCTCTGCTGTGAGAGGAATTGGACCTCAGCTGCCTTGGAATGGGGAAACTGGGAGTGGTCAGGGGCAGCTCGCTGCCTCTGCAGGCAGGATCTGCCCTGCCTGCCTGCCTGTGCTGTACAAAGGCCCCTGGGCCGAGGATGCTGAGGCTGGCATGGCTTTTCCTGCAGGTTCTGCATCCACTAGCTCATGCCTCCTTCCCTGCAACGTTCGTGGGGGGAGCCGGCCCCGGCTGGGCCCTCAGCCCCGGTCGGGCGGCGGGCAGGCGCCGGGGCGGGGAGCGGGGGGGGCTATGGGTCCGTCTGGACGCAGACGGTCGCCCCGCCCGGGGTGGAAGCTCGGCTGTTATTGGTTGGTGAGGAGACGGCAGGCTGTCACGGCGTTTGCTATTGGCTGCGACGCACCAGCGCCTCACGCGCTCCGGCTTCTCCCTTTTGTTATTGTAGCAAACAAGTTGCGAAGCGGCGGCAGGAGCGGGCAGGGTTGCGGGCGGTGGGCTGAAGGCAGCCGGAGGAGATGCAGCAGGAGCCGGGGCCCGAGTGAGGAGAGCCGGGCGGTGGCGGTGAGTAGCCAGCCCCGGTCCTGGTGCATGCTCCCCCTCCCTCCCTGCCCCACATCGGCCCCAGCCCCTCTGTACCCCGAGTCCCACGGGCGTCCCTGCTCGTGTTCCCTCCTTGAAGCCTCACGCCGAGCCTATCGCCCCTCTCTGCCGACCCCATCTGCCTGCTGCAGCATCCCCTGGCCTCTCGCTGACAGCGCAGCCGCCTCTGTTAAACAGCCGTGCTGCACTGCCGGGGCCGGGCAGTTCACAGGGGTACAAGGACCCCCACCCACTCAGGCAGCCCCTCTGCGCTTCTCCCCGCTTTCCTCCCACCGATAGCCCCAAACCCTGCTCCAACGCTGCACGAAAAACAGGAAAACACCCGTTTTCAGCCTGCGGGTGACCTCAGGACGGAGGTGGGCCGCTACCCTGTGAAGTCTTGCAAGTTGGGATGTGGTGGCGATGGCCCTTTGGCACTCACTTTTCCAGGGCATCCCTCCTGCTTCCCTCCTCGGCCTCCCTTCTGTGAACCAAGGCTTCAAGTACGGGGAGCATCCCTCTTCCCAGCCTGGGGAGCCGGAGCTGGGCTGGGGGGACAGAAGCCAGGCTGGCACGGGGGAAGCGCAGGCAGGAATGAAATCCCCACCGAGGCACCCGTCAGTCCCTTTGTCCCTGCCCTTGAGATTATCTGGGAGCAAAGTTAGTGGCCCTGGAGCCAAGGAGATTAGGCCAGGGACCGTGTCCGTGCAGGGGCTGCGGGAGCTGGCTTCCCTCCACCCCACACTGCCTGTCCCCCTCCCGAGCTGGGGTACAAGGCTGGCTCCAGTTTTGGGGCTTGGGCTACGGGATCAGTGAGGTATTTTTAGGGCAGGAGCAAAGTAGGGGGGGGAGGAGGGGAGACCTTGATCCCAGCCCTGCGCTGCTGCAGGAGGAGCCCTGACAGGTTTGTGAAAAGCCCCCAGCCACATACCCTCTGCTGGGACAAAAGACTCGCACAGAAATGTCACTTTCCATCTGGAGCGGGACGATGAGGCGCCTCATTATTCCTTTGGTTTGCTCTGATGCTGGGGCAGGAGTGCCCTTTTGGGGTCCACTCTGTCTGTGGTGCAACAGGGACAGCCATCCTCTCTGAGAGACAGTGAGCACTCCCGGCCGTTGCATCACCGGGGGGAGCTGGAGCCAGGGAGAAGCTATCTCTAGCCCATGCTCACCCTAGTTTCCCTCAAACCAGACTGGGCTGAGTTTCATATGGGGCTGGAGATGGCCTTGGCTCTTTCAGTCTTTGCTGGAGCAGCCAGCATTGGCCTTGGGGTCTAGCCACCAGAGCTGGGGGGAACCAGGACCGATGTCGGGGCCCCCAGATGCTCCCTCCAGGGCAATCCTGGACAGCCCTTGCTCACAGAGTCCCTGACATCATCTTTTACCTCCTTTGGCCTCAAAATGGAGCTCTGAGGCAGAGCATGCCAGGCAGGCAGGACCCCTGGAGAGGAGCAGGCTGGTAGAAAGCAGGCAGGAGTATCAGCATCAGGGCAGCACCGGGCATCCCCAGGATGGGTGCCCCAGGCTGCGTTAGCACCCACAGGGTGAACCCCATAGCCTGGTGAGGTGTTCAGGCTTGTGCCCCAGCCACAGGGAGCCCCACAGGACCCCTCCAGCATCCCTGAGGGTGTTCCCATGGCCGACAGCATCTGGCTTATCTTGAGCCAGAGGAGCCCGGCCAGCGGCATCGCTCCAACAAGAGGGGAGCCATGGCCCTGTGCCTGCATGGGGGGGAGACAAGCAGGCAGGGCGCTGGCAGGACACCCTGCCTCCCATCCCGCGGATAAGCAGCGCAGAGCAGGGGCTGATGGTTTGTTTTGTCTGCCGCTGGCCCAAGGTTTTTCCCAGGCCCTGGAGCGTTGTACCCACCGTGATGCAGAACCAGGACCCCACTGCAGCAGCACCGCAGTGGGCACAGAGCCCTGGCACAGCCACAGCCGGGGTGGGGATGCTCACGGGGCCCCGGCACGTGTGCATATGCATGCAGCTCTTGGCATGTACGCAGTCTGGCAGGGGAGGCAGGAAAGGGAGAAGCCCAGCAGCGAGTGAGGGGTTAAGGAGCGGCGCCAAGCTGGGGCTCTGTTTAGTCTGGCCCCTGTGCCTGCGATGGGACAGGCAGCGCAGAGCACGTGTGCCGTCACCCCAGCCCAGAACAAGTGCTTGCACGCACACAGGCACCCTTGCATGCTGCGTACACACAGGCATGCCTCCCTGCCAGGCCGTTGGTGTGACACGGCTGGTGTCCCCGTACCCATAGACACTGCGGAGCCTGATGCCGTGGCCCAGCTCTGGCTCTGCTGCCGTGGGAGCCAGGGACTGCGGGGAGCTGGGGACACCCCGAGTGTCCCGGTATCACTGTAACCCCTGTGCCTCTTCCCACCCCAGACAGGGAACGTGGAACCCCCAGGCATCCAGGCTGGCCCCCTGCTTCAAGGTGACATACGGCTTTGTCCTGCATCCTTCTTGCCTGCCACATGCCATTTTGGGGGGGCTGCCACATGTCCCTCTTGCCAGCACCAACTGCCCCTTATCTGCCCCGTGGGCTCCGGCATCCCGTACAGTGCTTAACTCCCAACTTGGTGGCCCGGTGCTACAGTGGCCGTGCAGGCGAGGGCAGGGGGGACAGCAGGTCCCCTGCTGTGGGGTGACAGGCAGGGCCGTGCCGTGCCTTGCAGGGGAGCAGCGCAATGTCCCTCGGCGCGCCCACGAGCAGCGATGCCTGCCTGAGCATCGTGCACAGCCTGATGTGCCACCGGCAGGGGGGGGAGAACGAGACCTTTGCCAAGCGGGCCATCGAGAGCCTCGTCAAGAAGCTCAAGGAGAAGAAGGACGAGCTCGACTCACTCATCGCCGCCATCACCACCAACGGTGCCCACCCCAGCAAGTGCGTCACCATCCAGCGCACCTTGGACGGGCGGCTCCAGGTAACCCTGCCGCACTGGGACCCAGGTGCCTGGGTGCCTCGGCAGCCCTGTGCCTCACAGCCCTCCCTGAGCTGGGGGGACCTGAGTGTTGGGGTGCCCCATGGCCCCCGAGACCCCCCAGCCCTCCCTGAGCTGGGGGGACCTGAGTGTTGGGGTGCCCCATGGCCCCCGAGACCCCCCAGCCCTCCTCGAGCTGGGAGGACCGAGGCAGGGGCCCTAGCAGAGGGGACCCCCCATCCCCAGGCGGGGCACGCAGGGGGACCCCAGCCACATTGAGCCTGCGGCTCCGAGGTGAGAGCCACGCTGTCTTAAGTGTCTGGGCTCACACCCACCCACCACGGGTGCCATGGGGCCACGGCTGCACCGGAGATGGGGGGACAGGGACACGCAGAAGTCCCCATCCCACCAGGTCAGATGCATCCAGGCAGGAGCAGCTGCAGGCAGTGTTGCCCCCTGCCCGCAGTCGTTCCCCCTCTCGGCGCTGGCATCCCCCGGCAACTCTGCCCCTCCTTCCCAGGATGAGTCACTGTCTGGCAGCCTGGGAGCCCGGAGCGGGGTGTGGGGGCGGGGGTTGTTATGTCTGGAGCCGGGGACGCTCAGGGGGAGCCCCCCGGCTGCCAGGGGGTCCTGGCCTGGCGCCAGCCTTCGCGCTGGCAGAGGCTGGGATGCTGGGGGGGGTCCAGTATCTGAGCTGGATGCAGTCAGCCTGGGAGGTGGGGAGGGACTATGCCCACACATCCACCTCATTGCTTCAGTGTCCCTGTCCTGTCCCCCCACCCCGCAGGTGGCTGGCAGGAAGGGATTCCCCCACGTCATCTATGCCAGGCTCTGGCGCTGGCCCGACCTACACAAAAACGAGCTGAAACACATCAAATTCTGCCAGTTTGCCTTCGACCTCAAGTACGACAGCGTCTGCGTCAACCCTTACCACTACGAGCGCGTGGTGGCCCCCACCATCGGTGAGCCAGTCCCACCGCCGGGACCCCCCCGGGTTGGGGGGGGGTGGCCATCCCACTTCTGTCACCAGCACCCATAACACCCCCACCACCCCATCTCTCCATGGTAGGTCTGAGCATCCAGAGCACAGGTGAGACCCTGGTACAGGGCCGGCGGGGAGCACCCCCGGAGCCAGCATCCCCCCCCCACAGCGGGTCCCCGTGCCCCCCATGGTCTCCGGTGTGTGTCCCCCCCGCTCCCCAGTGCCCCCCACGCGCCTGGTGAAGGAGGAGTTTGTCCATGACTGTGTGCAGATGGAGGTGCCGCCCGGCCGGGAGCAGGGAGCCAAGCGGGCGCCACGTCTGCCCCCCGCTGAGCCATACCGCCAGCCGCTGCCCCCCCTGCAGCTCCCTGAGTCCCCCCATGTCCCCAGGAGCCTCTGCCCTGCGCTGCCCATGTCACCCCCAGGTAAGACCCTGTTAAACCTCTGTCCGCATCCCTGAGGAAGGGTTTGGGGGGGTCGACTTGACACCCCCCCACACCGTGTGTGTCCCCCACAGTGGCACCAGGCAGCTCCCTGCTCTCATTGCCCCACGGCGAGGGGCTGCTGCAGATCGCCTGCCCCACACCACCCCCAGTCGCCCTGGTGCAGCCCCCCCCCCAGAACGGCTACCCCAAGCTGCCCTACCACAGTGAGTACCAGGGACACCATGTGTCCCCTGGCTCGGCAAGGGTCTCGCATGGGGACACCCCCACCCGGCCACCCTCTCTCCTGCCCTAGGTTCACCGACAAGCTGGACTGGTGCAGCTGTCTATGCACCGAGCCTGGGGGGGCCGCAGCCCACCCCGCCACCGCAGCCCAGCACCCAGAACCATCCGCAGCCCCCATTCCACCACCCCAACCACTACTGTAGGTTTAGGGGGGAATGGGGGGCTGGGGGTCATCTGCAAGGTCCTCACCCCTTCGCTGCACTGACCCCATCTCTGCCCCCTCGCCAGGGCCCCCACACCATGGCTCTGGGCCATACCAGCAACCAGTGTCTACCCACCCGGGTAAGTGCCCCCCACCCTAATTAGCACCCCAATGATCACCCCCTCCATGAGCTATGGGTGCCCTGACCACCCCATGACCATGTGTGTTCCTCTTCCAGGGCCAGAGTTTTGGTGCTCCATTGCCTACTTTGAGATGGATGTGCAGGTGGGGGAGATCTTCAAGGTGCCATCCAGCTGCCCCGTGGTCATCGTGGACGGTTATGTGGACCCCTCGGGGGGGGACCGCTTCTGCCTGGGGCAGCTCTCCAATGTGCACCGCACCGACGCCAGCGAGCGGGCCCGGTGGGGTCGGGGGGGTAGAAGGGGGGGACAGGGCAATGTCAAGGTGGGGGGTTGGAGGGTAGG